GGGGTTGTCGTTTTTCCGCGTGCAACTTGAAACCTGGAAGAGGGCGCCCATTCCCCTGATTCCATTTCCAGCCGAGATGTGGAAGTCGATTACCCGCCCTGCTTACGATTCCATCAATAGCAAATGGTGATGCTTGCGGCCGAGGGGTGTGCGAGGCCTTTATTGCGGCTGCTTTGGGGGGTTAACTCCGACCTGATGCTGGCTTGCCGGAATATGCCGGAATGCAATGTCATGCAATGGCCTGGCCTCGGAAATCCTGCCAAACTGCAGGCCCTGCTCCTTCTTGAACCTGGCTGGACGCAAGCGGAGAGTCCGCCGCAGAGTAGCGGCACTGAGCCAGCCAACTGTAACTGTCAAGACTGCAAGGATGTACGACCCGACCGAGGCCAAGGCAAGTCTCCGAATGCTTTGTTTATGGCACCTCCACCTACCTCGGGAGACGCGCATCACAAAGGTGGTCTAAACAAAGCCCGTTGAACGAGTTCGGAACAGCCGGATAAATAAATAAATAACTATAAATACAAATAAATAAATATATGTAAATAGATAGATATACATATATAAATATAAATATAAATATAAATATAAATATAAATATATATATATAATATGGTTTCCGGTGCAGAGTGGAGTAGGATCCCAAATCCCGTACAGGTGTTGCCGACTTCTGTGGAGCAGCCTCATTTCTAAAGCGCAAACAAGCACGCTTTCACATGCAGGAAATCCGAGAGCGCAGCATACAAACGATAGTCACCAGCGTTGCAAGAGGCAGTGTTTCGAGCAGGCTCATCCAGGAAAAGTGCCTCAAGTCATCTGTCATCTCAAGTCATGAAACTTGCCGACAGTGGTCAGCAAATTCTCCAAAGCATTCCAAAACAAACTTCGCCCGTTTGGCTCGGACTTCTGGTGACTTTGGTGTCGACACCAAAATGCAATTCTCAGAAGTCCCGCTGAGCCAGCAACAGAAAAGGACTCTGGTTCGGGCTCGAAGTCAAACTGAATGCCCTTGACGTCCTGGTGGCAGTGCCAGGTCGGCTTGAGCAAGTAATAAGTAATGCAGCATGGCCCACAGCAAGCGCTCCTCCCTGCCAGTCCCAAGGCTCTTGGTCATTTTGGCGTACATGGACCTGGCCTTCTTCTCGCCTCTCCATATGCGTGTGAGAGATGAGAGTCCTAGCGGCTAAGCGAGTACCTCAATCCATGGCAAGCCTTAAGCGCGGTCTCGACTACACCGTGCTACGTGGGGGGCCCACACCACTCTCACCCCATCCCCACTGTTTTTGGTGCCTCGCAAGGCTTCTTGATGCCCCGGACCAAAGTTTACATGTCCTGTCGCGCCCACGTGCCTTCTTTGGCTCCTTTCTGTGCCTCCGAGAGAGCTTGTCAACTGCAACACAACTTCCACCAAAAGCCAAGCTGCGAGCCCAGCCCAGTCCAACAAAACAGCAACACGTGGATGTGATTACCCGACGCAGGCGCATGATAAACCTAACTCGCTTTGTATGGCAACCCGAAAGTATCAACAAGCTACGTGTAAAATCCAAGCCTAACTGAGCACAACTTCCAGCTCCGCCTCTGGCAGCAGCCGTCTTGCATCGGAATTTTTAGGACTCGGCAAGATTGGAACCGAATCTGGCTCAGCGAATCTTTCCCCTCTTTCAGTTTTCTGCTGAACTGCTCCTCTCACCACAATTTTACTGTTGTCATCTCTGCGGCACACCCATCTGATCTGCTGTGTGCTCAGGCCCCACACATCCAAAGCCAGGCAAAAGTGCAGAAGGCCCCGACTCTAGCTCCAAGAGCATTTTGAGGTCACTAAGCCTGCAGCCCGGCTCTGGTCTTCATGCAGACTTGTCTTATCAGGGTCGGTCGTGCTCACTGGCTGCCATGCGAATCCACACACCCGATCGGCCATGTATCTCTGACATCCATCCCAGTCAACCAAGCTGTCCAAGGTCATGCTTCTAGAGTGAAAGTGCTCAACATCAACCTCCATTGCGTCTGATGCCTTTTGCGATGGTTGATACTGATCACGCAGATCCTATGGCTCGAGGAAATGCTTAGGCGAGCTCGCATCAGCGAAATCCCTCCGCCTCAGTGCAGAGCTAGAAGAAACGAAGTAGCTCAAAGAAGCAATCCGGCAAGGATAGCAAGTTCTAGTAGGCCGACGGGTTCTTAAGAGCTTGGCTGAAGATTGGCGCTCGCCCTTCTGAAGAGTGCCTGACCCATGCTGGCCAATATTTTCACCTGCTGTCCTACTGTCTGGACTGTCTGTCGACAAGGAGTCAGTCAGTGATGGCAACCTTCTCATGATCGGTCGATGTAGCTGACAGCACTCGAGCCTCTGACAATCACTACCACCAGTGAGTGGGAAGGACCACGACGAATCCAACCATTCCAACCCATTCTTTAGTGCAGAAATGCATCCAGACCAGACCATCAGATGATGGCTATACTGCTATGACACGAAGGTGGTGCAACGTTCGGTGCGGCTTTTTGAAACTAGAAGGTCACAGAAGATCACAGAATGCTTTATCCACGGCTCAAGTCAGCCTTGAGGTTCGTGGGCTCCTCTGCCAAGACCTAAGACAAGTCGGTTCTTGAGTGACCCATGCTCGGTCTTTACTCAAAGTCCTTGCTGGGAAACACCGGGAACACTAGCAGGACGGCAATCTCACAAGTCAGATGCCGCAATGCAGCTCAAGCCAGTTGTTCGGAAACTCATTTCGGCTGTGCCCGCCAGATAGAGCTAGCCCATCAAAGTTGCCCTGCAGCTCACTTCTCGATAACCATCCCGGAACTCGCGATCAACATGCCAATGACCAGCACGGGTTCCGGACTGGGTGCCCGGACTGCATCGCAAGCCTTCTTCGCACCGTAGAAGTCTCGCAATTTTAGACGGCCTGGGCTTGCAGGGCTGCTTTCGATTCTCGCGACTCGCATACGGCAGGCAAGGATCCAGCTGTCCAGAAGCAATCTGCTGATACTGCGATCAATGCACGGGAGGCTCCACAAAACCACCATCAACCAGTGACAAAACGGGAGCCACCCACACATGAACAAGGAGTGAGCATTACACGGCCAACAACCATCACACTTAGACTCAACCCGGCCGTTCGTCCGCTACAATGGTTTGAACTTTACTACAGTCATCACAGAACTCGTCCACGAACATTCCACCAGTATGCAACACGCCAGTAAAGAAGAGAAGCAATGCAACACGTGTATCTACATAGCTAATGTTAAAGCAGTCGCTGCAACAGGGAGCTTCACTGTCGCTAGTCATGCTAAGCTCCCCCTCCCTTTACCAGCTGCGACGCCACACGGTCACGCCAAAGCCACATGACACTCCAGGTTCTGTTCCCCTTGAGCACAGTGTCCACATTGAAATCCAGAAAGTCACGTTCAGGGAAAAAACTTGCGTGGCCACAAATTAGCGAGCAGTTAGCAAGGCTAGGGAAGCCTGCACTTTGGAAAGCGCCGCATCCGGACATCTTTGAGGCACCGACACTGCGCTTGATTAAGCTCGCAGGTCCTGGCTCGATTCGGCTCAGCCAAAACGCTTCCCAAACATGGCATATGCTTCCGATTGCTGTCCTGTGCAAGAATGGCATGTTGAATTCACGTCTCGTGCAAATGTCTGAGGCCGGCTCTTCTTGAGCTCGCTCATCTGAAGTTTACAAGCCTGCATGGCGCTGGAATCTTTACTGGGTGGTCTCCGATGATCCAGGCGGGGCTTGATACGATGGTCAGCTGTGAACTGAATGACGGCTGTCATGCGTGCTGCTGGAAATGACAAATCCAAACAACCAACCGCAGTGTAATGACAACACTTATCTGTCACGACAATCGACCTGCACTCGACATGATAAGGGAGATCCGAGACCCTGTTTGGACCTGCAGTTCACCGGCGAGACCTACTCCAAACCACATGCATGAGAGAGTCACTAACTGGATAGCAGGCACATGATTGGCGAGTCATGTCATAAGGCCTCAAATAAATGTGTGACCGTCTGCTCATGCAACGAGCATACAGCATACACCTGCTCCTGGTGCCAGATATCACGGCATGCCGGTGCTTTTCGAACTGAACACACAAGAAGTACCTTGGAGGACGAACATGAACACCCAGGGAAGTGGTCACGACGATGTCCAACATGAAGCACTGGCTTCTTGCCAGCAGTACCACATTCTCTCGCCGGCAGCAGGGGGAGATCAGGTCATCATGCCACACACGGCATGGGCGTGAAAGCAGTTGCACCAATCAGGAGCGTTCCTTTGCGCCTTTGCTTGGAATTGGCTGCCGGTTTTGAATGTCGCCAACAGGGCTCGTTCAGGAGCCGTCTGCCTTTTTCTCCTCGATTTTATCGTGTGCAGATTCAGTCGTGCCTGGGCGGCAGGAGAAGCGCGCCAAACAGCATATGGTGATTAGTATTCCCTGTGTATGTCGCTTGGGTTGGTCAGTCTTCGCCCACCGCCGACTTGATGAGGCTGGCTGTGGATCACTTGCAGGCTGCTACCATCTTGAGATTCCGGACCGACATGAATCTAATCTGAGCCTGCTCTCCTGCTGCCAACCACGTGCTCATTTTACACTCGCATGCTTCGTCAAGGGGTGTTATCATTAAAGACGCCCCAGCTGGCGTCCACCAGCATCTTGGAGGGTCCGACACTGGCCAACTTTTGCCAATACCTTGCGATGTATATCTCGGGTTCGAAGAACCATATGGCTTATCAGCTCCACTTTACGCCATTTGCCATAGAGCCTTCAATCTTCAAATGAGCTTCACTATGCGCAGCAGTCAGAAGGTATTACTGTAAAACAATTTGCGTTTAGACCGAAGCCCGATTGCCAGGCATAGACCCAGCGGTTGAGTAAGGAAACGAGCCGGACACCCCAAGAGAAACAGGAAACAGGTAGCCAGAGGGCCTTCCCCCAAGGCTGCCCTGACAGCTGGAGTTAAACACGCTGAAACCATATGCCACTGATCCGAGGGACCTCAGCATGAAAGGCTGGAGTGGCTTATGAAGTTAGGGTTGGAGGAGCTCGGCGTCACAGGGGTGGACCAGCTTGGTGGGCGCACCACATGGTGGTATCGCCTGCACAGGTGAAAAGAAGGCTTAACGTGCTTTCAGGGGCACAATGCCAGCCTGGCACAAGGCGTGAAGCCCAAGGCCATGCCTGGGCATTCAAAGCTCGCCGCACGAACTGCTCTGACTTCTTGTTAAAGAGTTTCATTCTTTGCTGCCAACCTCCCGGTCACTCGATGCATGTGCGTTGTCCAGAAATGCCAAGCACCGACTGCAACTCTACTTCTCTGATGCTGCAGCTCGGAGCACGCAGTAAACCACCGCCAGCATGCGCGACCAAAGGCATGCTGTTCCTAGGCATGTCTTGAGTAGCAGAGGGCCGGCTGGGGGGCCGAAGTGGCCTGAAGGCTCCAAAACCAGTTCGGCGACCCCAAACGGATGTCTGGGAACCCAAAGCTGCCCAAAGCGGGCTCCCAAGGCCCAGCTGAGACTCTTCTCGCTGAAGGGGAGATTCCGAAGCACCCGCATTGATGCCACCTTGGACTGAGATGGACATCGTTTGCTTGTGGCAGACTTAGAACTTAGAACGACCAAGAGATCACGAGGCGCGTTCAAGCAAATCGCTGCATGTTTCCGTGCTGATTGCTAGTTCTGTCGAAGCCACCGCAAGAGCTGGGGCCACCAAATGTAAACAGCAGTTCAACACACACAAGCCCCCCCTCTTCTTCATTGAGCTTCCTGTAGCCGTCAAGTCCTTCTTCGTTCTGATCCAAGCAGCATGCCAGGCTGCCAAGGGTGCCCGCCTTGGCGAGACGGGCCGTGAAGTGCTTCGGCGACCGTTGCTCTGCCACTCCTCAGAGGAAGCATCTCGGCTGAGGCACTGTAGCACTGAGGTAAATGTTGCTGATCACGAGTCAGCCGGGTAAACCTCCTTACCACCAAATCGAGATACACGGCGTGGAAGCAACATGCTTGAACATCAGTTCAGCCTGAATCCCTGAGATTGTTTGTCCAAGGTCTGAGTTGCATTTCGTGGGGTGTTGGAGCGGCCAGAACGGTCCGAATAGCTTGCGAGCCCGAGGCACCCTCAAACGCTCACCCGTCGTGCCCTGCAGAACGAAAAGCGCAAGGGCCTGACCAGATCCAATGCGTCTGCACTGTACGTGCCACGATAAGCCAAACAATCTCTCTAGACTCTAGCTTTCCTGAAATCTGTGGCCGCTGCCGCCACCTGCTGCTTCTGCATGGCTAGGTGTCCTCTCCCACTGTCTCATAAAAGATGGGGCCCGAGCCTCTTAGAAGTGGTCGCACGGTACAGCAGCAGAGGTAGCATGAATATCGCATGGAAAAGGTCGCAGCTGCGGAATTGATTCACTGGTACTTTTTTCAGTGCCTCAACGGAACCGATTCCGGTCAATTTGGCGACACTGTTCGATCGCACCCGAACAGGTTGAACCGGACAAATGTATCATAAGTAGATTCAGAAACTAAGGGCCGTAAACCCGACTGGAAAACTCAGTTGTCTAGAACAGCGAAGAATATCAAGCAGGGCCCCAGCGAGCCAAGCAACACAAACCAGTTCGTGATTCGTGTGCTGCGATACCATTAAAGTGCTGAGGTGTGCGTGCTAAGCCTGAGCTTTAAAGGCTTTATGTCTTCCTGCAACTGTGCTAAGTGTTAGACTGTTAGATGTCCGACGGTTTGAATCGATCGTGTCGTCCCAGTCCCCTTCAGGAAGCGGTCAACAAGAAAGCCGTGATTTTCGGTATGCCCGGAGGAGCGGATTGGCTTGCGACTAGATAGCATTCCTGGGGTTGTGAGGCGAAGCTACACAAATCCTTCGCAAAAAGGCCATGACTTCTGCAGCCTCACCACGCTTCGGCACGCGGCCGATCTCTGTTATTTGGAGATCTGCCCAGCGCAGACGAACCTGAGTTGCACTTGGCCCATTTCCGTTCGCACTTCCTGCAGTATCCTGTGCAGCCAGTCCGTGACTATAATGACTATAATTGCAAAGGCTACAGCTGCTGCCGTTGGTTCTTGGTCTCAACATTGAAATGAAACTTGAAACGGAAATGCCCTCGTCACGGTTGCCACTCCTCTTCCTTCTCCTGCTCCTCCTTGGTCCTTGTATGTCCTTGTCCTGCTGCTAATACCACTCTACCGCCACTACCCAGACATATCCAGCCAAATGATGATCACGTCAGTGCTGTGAAACTCGACCACTGCCGACAGCTACTCAATACTAGTAACTAGTGCTGCTAGTCTTGCCTCTTCTAGTCTTGATGCTACCGGCTGCTGCTGCCGATACCTCCTACTACTACTACTACTACGACGACGACGACGACTACCACCACCACGACTACTACAACTACTACGAGGACGACTCCAGCGAGTACTACTATTGCGCTAGGTACTGCCGGGCCTACTCCACTTCATCCCTCCTCCTGCTGCTCCCGCCGCCGCCGTTGCTTATATCAACAGAAACAATCCGAATCGAGGTAGAAGTGCCCCCTGAACCTGACATCTCAAGGCAGACATGTCGAGAGATACACAGACTTGATTTGGTCAGTCCAAGAGGCTTTGCAGCAGCAGATTGTCTGGCTTGATGTCGCGATGCGCGATCTTGTGATGGTGCAGATACCTGGGGTCGCGGTGGCCAAGGCCCTCTGACACAAACACCTGTGGAGAGCTTCTAAGATGCCCTGGGCTGCATTCTAAACCCTAAATCCTGAACCCGAAGTCCTAAACCCTCAACCCTAAACCCTCATGCTCTCATGACAGGGTTTTTGGTTTGAACCGTTTCAGCCAAACAGAAGGGGCTTGGTCTTTGCCAGTCCCTGAACAGCAATTGCAAGCAAGGCACCAGTGAGCAAGCTTCTTACAATATCAGAATCCCTAGATCTTCTTCGTGGTTTACAGTAAGGATGCTTCCTACGACTGGTAACAAGGCTTTCAATCGAACTTTGGCTGCGGTGGTTGCAACATTGGGCTTTGCAACAACGCCCAAACACTAGGCCCCATGTCAGCTACAAAGAAAGCCTACAAGGCCAAAGGGTGGAACCCCAAAAACCGAAAACATACACATCCTGAGCCCTGAACCCTAACATCTTGATGACGTCCAAGATGCACAACAGCACTGAGCAGCTGCCATATGCACTGCGCCAAGACCTGCGCCTGATTGATGAAGCTTGGTATGTACTTGGGGGGCGTATAGAGACTATTGCATGTTTTTTCCATGGTTTTACCATGTGTTTCGAGACTATGCAGCCGCTACAGTGAAGATACGGCTGATGGCGGAAGTGATGGTGAGCCTGATGATAGCTGACGAAAGCAACATGATGAGTATGACTTGGTGATGATCGTGGTGATGATGGTGATGGTGACAATGACGGTGATAGTGGTGGTGGTGGTGGTGATGCTGGTGATCAAAATGATGGAAACCTCGCTTCAACGAACTAGCTTAAATAGCGTGCACTACTACTCGTTTGGTGATAACCAGCTCTTGTTCAAGTATTGGCGGTGATGCTGTACTTGCATGTCTGAACAACTGCACAACTTCGCTCTTCCGCTCTTGTTCCCATATGCTCTTACAGAAGCTTTACAGGCTATCACTGGGGCTGCATTACTGTACCATCGCCCAGCAACGTCCACAATTACCCATGCACTGCAACTGCTAAGACGCCAACCCCTACCTAGGTCCTAAATCCTATAAAGACCCTACAACCTACAACTAAGATACAAAACCCTGGGCCTTAAACAACCTAAAACGTATGAACGCCTAAACTCTGTAAAGCCCAAAACCATAAACCTGTAAGACCATGAACACTGTAACGCCCTAAAGCGCTAGCCTGCCTAAACCCTTTCAGCACCCTAAGCGCTGAACCAATGCTCAAGCAGCAAGTGGCTGAAGGCGGCATGTAGATAGACTGGCCGAAGTACGACTCTTCACCTGAGATATCTTGGCTCAGGGTGAGATAAAGGACCCGCAGAATTTAGAGCGTAATCTTGATAGGATTTTGGGCTTCGGCGTCTAGGGTTTAGAGATTAATTCATCAAAACCACTATATGAGCTGGGGCCTATAAACCATGCTGCAGGTTCCGAAAGGTATTTAGGCTTGGTCCTGGTTGTCAGCAGATGAGGCACGCTCCTGCATCCACTGGAAAAGATCTCCGCCTGGCAGAAGTCGGGGATTTGCTTGTTTTTAAGGTTCTTTTTTGTCGCATGCGCTCCAAAGCCCCTGGTGGACAGGCTGTTATTAGTCTACCTACAGCAAATCTCTCAGCAGCCACCGTCATAGACACTCATCGAAGTATTGCTTTTCGAGTTTTGGGTTTGGGATGCATGCCTTTTGGCAGCAGCTTCCGGCTAATCAAAAGGATAAACGGCTCTGAAATCAAGGCATATGCCCTGCTTGGATGTTTCGAGGTATCCACGAAGTGTTGGGGCTGGAGGCAGAAATGTCCCAAAGACCACTCCATACTCCTTAAATCCTGATCCCCCAAACTCTAAGCCCCTAAACCCCGAACGAGTAAACCCTTAAGCCTTAAATCCTAAACCTGACGCCCTGGATCTGAATCCGTAAACCCGCATTTTCTCCCTCCCTCGCACCTTTCTTTGGACGCCTATCGTCCACCGAACCGGTCTAGGGTTAAGGGTTTAGGGTTTAGGGTCTATTGTTTAGGGTTTAGCGTCTACTGTTAAGGGCTTAGGGTTCTAGTAGGGCCCTCTACCAGGCTCTAATTGGCTTTGTACTCGAAGGGTTCCATTCACCGGGAGGTGCCAGATTTGTGTCCAAACTGTAGCAGGCTGAGGGTTCAAGGCTTTAGGGCTTTAGGGTTTAGGGTTGATAGGTTTTGGGGGGTGGACAGCAACTTGATTATAATATGGGACCCCAAGGAATTGTATCAAAAACCGTGCAGGCCGGCATACAACTTGAACAGAGTCTCGGCGCCTGTGCAGAGATCCAGAATCAGGTACATCTGCCCCGAATCCAGGCACGTCTCCTGGGCACGGTTTAGGGTTTAGGGTTTTTGCAGTTTCATAAAACCAAAACAGCACTATTCAAGCACTAGGTTCCTGAGTGACCCCATAATAGTGAGGGCACACTTTTTCCCATTATTCAACCTTAATAAGGGAGCTATACACTAAAAAGGGCAAAAGGCTACCACTCAGGAACCTAGAGTATGGTACTCCAGAATACAATCTCCTGAGGTCGGGAGCAGAAGTCAACATTGCTCGTGCCAGGGCTTATATACTATGATGGCCGTGCGGGTTCAGA